TCCCCCCCCCCCCCCCCCCCCCCCCATTTCTTCCCTAGCTTATTTTCGTCTTTTTTGCTTTGTTTCTTTTAATTGCTTATTCCCATAAGCATTTGTCTTTGATTATTTAGTTTCCAAATTTAACTTTTCAAAATCTATTGGAAACAATCAAAATTACAACAACCTCTAGGTAATACCGCTTGCAAATGAAATCGTGCATATTGAATTGCACCGCAAAACCACAGTCATGCAAACAACGACTATGCTGATTGTCCAGACGGCAAAAAAACTTAAGGTCCGTCCCATCGACTAACGGTGGCACGCCGATGCTTCCGAACGCCACGTGCGCCTTCAACAAAAGAACCTTAAGTATTATCAGCTGTGAGTTTACTAGGTACTGATCAATGGAGGTCTGCAAAAAAAATCGGAAATGTAAAGCTATTATTAAATAATTTATATGTTATCCCGGATGTCGACATTATAAAATTATCTATTTCCCCAGTTTAGTAGCTTCTTGAGCTGTGACCTCAGGTAAATGACGTTGATTGCACGTATTGATTCCATATGCGAGAAATGAAGTACGAACTGCTTACCTTGACCATATCCAGACCACGTCTTAGATTATCATTACATTTATCCTGGCACATTTTGTCTCTGAACAGTGCGAAATCTTTTGCCCGAGACTGTTCCCATCGAGCTTTACGTAGTTCCTCTTCCTCGAGGTCTGATTCAATATGAGCTAAATCAAATGCTCGTTCTCGTTTGAACCTCTTCTGCAGAAACAGTCCTGAAGTTGGAATAAAAGATGTTTTTTTATTATACATCTCTTGTATTTGCCGAGAAAAACAATTCTCTAGATTATAAGCCAGGTTGACTTTGGATGCCAAAGTGTATAAAGCTAAATTCCTGAGCAGATCCGGGAATGTTTTTCCCGATCAGTTATAGAAATTTTATCGAAAAGGCGGTAATCCGACCTGCTGTTTTGGATTTTTCTCGACTAAAGCACAGAAGTAGCACAGTTATCATCAGTTGCCCGCACTCTCCAACAAAATTCATTTCGTTACTGTAATTACGCTGCAGTTCACGCCATCGCTGTTGATTGATTTGCTAGAAATTCAAATTTTAATTTTTTTATTTGGACAGGCGCTGCACCCGAAACAAAAAGCACTTCCGCGTAGTTGCAACTAATTTTTTGATGTTATATAAAGTGGTCTGCGGAGTAATAAATTTAGACGCACAGGGTACTTTGCTGACGATGTATAGACGTCGCGTACTAATCAGTGGTTCCTTAGCAGAAAACTAACCATCGTTTGATTACTGCCGAAGAGTTGACGTGCATACGTGGATCAAGCGAAGATGGGTACTAAATGGAAATATTGCAGTTCAGAATCGATGGGTTTCCAAAACTGCGCCCAGTGTACGCAAGCATCTCAGTAAAATTTAACGTGAACAAATAAAGATATTATTGATTATATATATAATATTTAGCACAACAGAAAGTATAAAAATATACATTGGAGGTAAAAAAGGCAATAAACAATCAAATGAGCAGGAATATTTTGGTCCATTAAATTGTATGAATTCTTTTTCATCAATATGGTGTTGATAAATTAAGAGTAGCAGTTAAAATATATTTATAAATTACGAGTAGTAGTAGCCAGAATAAAAATGCATATTAGATAAAATATAAATGTGCATAAAAAATGTGAATATAAAGCTGTAGAGGTGGATCATATCTTGAATGTTGGAAGATATGGGATAATCAAAAGAAATAATAAACAGAAATAAATAGGCAGTGAAAAGCAAAGAATGAAGTGACCTGCTAGACCTATAGTAGGATAAGAGGACTGCCTGCTTCTGATGCTGAACACTTTTCATAAAAAAAATTTTTTACTCACACCTGTTCTTCTGGGTGTTTTTATGAATTCTCATGTTTAACTTTATTGTGTAAAAGCATTTGCATTGCATTAGCATTCACCGTTGTAGTGTCTTTTTAACTGTTCATTTGATTGTTAAAAAACCAGTTCTCACGGGTTATCGAACCGTCGTGCTAGGGAACCACTTGTAGTAGCCGAAAGTTTTTTGACTTAATTTACCTTTTTGAGGTATCCCTGTTACTGTAAAAATCCGATGTATACTTTAGGGGCAAGGAAATTGATGAGGAGGTAGGTAAGAATAGCTCGTCTACATATGTTCGTTAGCTTTTCAGAAGTCCACTAATTTCGCTTCTTTTATGCTCAGCAAATGCGCAATGCGGATTAATTGAACTCCTTGTATGTTTCCAGACTGATGAAACTCTTCAACGTATTCGTTTTTTCCCCTTTCATCATCCTGTTAATAATTTCTCGCATATGCGTGATTAGGCAAATCATTAAAAAATCTCTTATCCCCTCTCTTCTCTCTTCTTTTCCAGGCGGAGGTTCTTGGAAAAAGTCCATGCACAGGGCAACCACCCTCTGGTCCCTTGTTCTTGTCAGTACCAGTTTGCCATCGAAACGAATCTAATGTTGGTGTAGGCAAATTGATTTCCTCATAGCAAAATCGAAGCGGTGCACAACATCGTGGACAATAATTGAGTAAGCAAATGAAGTGAGTAAAAGTTAA